AGTTGATTCTCGACAAGTGTGAGAATGCTTTGGGGAAACCTTCCTACTGGGACATGAACCATGAGGAGCGGAAGGCGGAGCAGGTTCCACTAGGCTTTGAGAAAGCTCTGTGGGAAGTGATGGAGTGGAAACTGAATCGACCTTCCATCAAGTGCGACAACACGCTGGCGTCGGAGAACCTGCCAGCTAACGCGGGGGGGAATTCTTCGAGCGGCGGTCCTGCACAGCCGTCGTCGGGGAGGAGCGCTTCTGACAGGAAAGCAATGGAGGATTCGGACCACGCAGCGAAGACACGGAGGACAAACACCGGCAAAGCGAGGACGGACGACACGATCAGCGGAGGGATAGCATTGGGTAGGGCGATGGAGGATGCGACAAGGTCTTATGACGAGGGCTTGGATAAGGCCGCTGCCACTCTGGCGAGGGCAACGTCGGAGGCAGGCTCGGCGATTGCGGCGAAGATCGGTGACGTGGCATATGCCATGCGTGGCGGGAACACTGTCCTTGAGATGCTCGTGGGGGTTCTCGCAAGGCGTGGAGGTGGGGGAAACGGTGCTGCATACGATAGGGCGGATACAGACCCCTCTTCGCGGTAATATATATATATATATATATATATATATATATATATATATATATATAATATGGGTACTGGCTGTCGTTTCCCACCCCCGACGTCCAAAACGGGCGTCCCCTCCCTTGTCCTGTCACCATCAACCGGTGTGTACATATTTGTGGACACACAAGTTGATGGTGACCAGACAAGTGATGGGACAGCCATCGTGGATGTCGGGACGAGGAAACGATAGTCGGCACCCGTCTTGCCCGTTGTTCACGTGTGTCTACAGCCGGTGCCTGCGTATATATACATAGGCAGTCGCGGCTTCGCTGGGCAGCGCAGTCGTTGGTGGGCAGGGGAGAAGAGATCGGACAGGGGAGAAGAGATCGCGAAGGGACGTGAAGGCAGAGGGAGAGCATATATATATATATATATACAGAGAGAGAGAGAGAGAGAGAGAGAGATGGCAGACGTATCCGCTGTGGTGAGGGAGGTGGTCGTGCAGGAGACCCGGCTGGAACGGGGAACGGAGCGCCAACAAAACATGGATTGGGGACCCAGCGTCATGAACGAGCATACGCACGTTTACTACGCACTTGTTAATGGCCTCCTCGCGATGAGGATGGTGGTCGGGTTAGGGTACGAGCGCGACGGCAGCCTTTCGGAGGTCGTCCTGTTCGTCAAGAAGCTGTCCAATGTCGTGCCGGACTCGTGGCTTGGCCCGCGCCCTAATGTCGTCGGGGACATCGTCCGCTATCTTGTCTTTGCCATCGCCGAAGAGCACACAGAGACCAGTAGCAACAGCACGTGCTACGTGGCGCACATGGAGCCTCCACTTCGGGAGAGAGGGTACCTGCATGGGGCGGTCCAGACATGGTACCCGGACGATGACCTCCGGGCTGCGCATAACAGGTGGTAGACCGCCTTCCACAGAGAGAGAGAGACACACACAGAGAGAGAGAGAG